TCGCGAGTGTTGGGCTCCCGCGTCGAGTCAGTGTCGCGTGGGGAAGCCACCCTCTGTGCACGCTGATGATTTTTAATGTTTTGTAGAGAAATAGCAGAGGATGAGAGCTGCTGAGAGGACCGGAGGGCTCCAGGAAGTGTATTTTCAGTACAGAGCTCTTTGTTAGCGGAAAATCAGAGAAATGAAGGTAAAAGCGCTGAAAGCAAAGCGGAGGGATGAGCAGCAAGAAGATGCAAGGGCAGCAGTGGGAGAAAACTTCCCAGCCTCCCCCGTAGCGCTGGGAAGCTCCTGGAAAAGCTGCTCCCCAGCTGGGGTGACGGGCTGTGATTTTGCTCTGAGGCCACAGGGTGGGGGACACCGTGCTTTGTCCCCTGCCCGGCTCACCGCTGCCTGGGGCGAGCAGTGGGACAAGCCGGCTGCTTTCGCTCCCTTCCCTGATGGACAGGGTTAATCTGGACCAAATTTAGGCTGAAAAATAAAATTCCAGCCGCGGAGGAGGGAGCTGGACGCCGGCAGCGCTGGGGCGGCGTGAGGTGCTGGCCACGGGGAGGATGGCAGGGCAAGCGCCGGGGTTTGGAATTTGGATTTTTGTCTCTGAGCGGGGTGCAGGAGGGATGGGAACTCCTTGAAAACCAGGACGGGGAGAGCAGGGCGGGATGCAGGGCTCCTTCTGCGGGGTGCGCCTGCCACAGCAGAACCCCAGGACTCCTCCACCACGGAACCAGTGGGCAGGGTGTAAATGGAGCCGATCAGTAGCTTTAATGTCCCTTCTGCCGAGTCTTTTCCATCCTCGTTTTCCCCTTCACTTAGCCGGAAAGCGAGGAGAGATGACTTTCTGTTTTTCCAGGTGACAAGTCCATTTTTCCAAGTGCTGCTTGTGATCGCCGAGTGTTTAAGATGTTAACAGCAGGCATTTCTGTGAGCCCAACCAGTTTCAGATAAGTCATAACTGGCTGATAGCGAGTGAAACCCTTTAAATATTTAAAAGGCGAGCGTCAGAAAAAAAGCCCCCATCCGAAGGCTATGGCTGTGTGGGGAGAGGGAATGCTGCGAGGACCGTGCTCGGCTCCCCGTCCCCTGCCGGGAGCAGAGAGGTTTGGGGCTGGCTCCTGAAAGAGGAGCCTGGCGGGGGTGAAAATGCCCCGTTCCCTGCCCTGAAACACGGGGACCCTGGAAAATGTGGTGAACAAAACAGAAAATCCATCGTTATTCACAGGGACGTGGCAAGGATGCTCCAGAGTCCACCTGCAGAGGGTTTGTGCGCCGCTCCAGCTTAAAAAAAAGTGAATTACCACTTTGATTTTGTATTTGAGTCGTATTTATTATAAAATTTATTCTAATATTAT